GTAGGTGTGGAAGTAGATTGTCCTGGAGATAAATAGGTTTGCGCAGAACAACGCTTTGCAAAAAAACATTAAATAGAAGTAAAAATTTTAAAAAAAACTTAATATCCAAAAATTGAATTAATTGGAAAAAGACCATAAACTTGTCGTGAAAATGTCTTACAAATATGGTCAGATTTTCGTTTGATTAGGGTAGAAGGCGGAAAAATGGGGATTGATGTAAAAACCATTGAATAGAAGTAAGAACTTAAGAAAAGTAATTTAGAATTAAGAAAAATTCGGGAAATCTGGAATTGAACAGATACATGTTTCAAGATTAGTAGGGTGCTAAGGTATTAACAAATCCCTTAGCTGAACTAGAAATTGATGCGTGGCACCTTCCGAAATTACATTTTCTCCTGAAACGTGTAAGGAGAAAGGCATTATTCTTTATCTGCTAAATAATTCTGAATAATTTATTAGAAGTGGGGAGATTCACGTAGAAAAATAGTGGTTTTGAACTGGGCAACACCTTCTCAAAAAAGATATTTTATTAATTAGAAAAAGTATCTTCTAAATAGTTAGAATGTTTCCATTTCAGAAACCTAAAAATGAATTTGTTTTGAATAGACTAGATCGTTTCAGTCTTGCAGGGATTGTCAAGCTTAGGTCTTTGTTGACAATGGCAAATTGCAGTACCGCTGATTGAATTATATGTTGACAAACAAAAAACTGATTATGCAGATTTCCCATGTGCAACAAATCTGGCATTGTTCAAAGATAAATGAGAAGAACATCTCAATGTCTCAATCCCTCACTGTCATTACAGTTGCCGTTGAAAAGTAATTCATTTTCGCCAACAAGTCGAGCGTTGTTTCTGGGAGTCAACCTTGGTTTTTGAGCTCCTACCGTGACATTTTCAATAATGAGAATCGATGAGTTGTTGTTACTATGATGATTGAATAGATGATGAAGCGATTTTAGCGCATACACTACAAATAACAAATGGCTGAAATGTTTTTAATGAGTAATTAGTGAGCCATAAAATAATGCCAAGCCTCGTGTGGCACTGTTGAAGAGAAAGTTGTTTCGATAAATTGATATCACAACCATATTGTATAGGGTGTCACATAAAAAAACGCTTCCACTTGTTCACTTTTTTTAACCATCAAATCCCCTATCAACAAAGATCTGCAAGAAGACTCTCAAAAACTCTGTGATGCGACCCGTGACCTCGGCGGTTCCCATGGATTACTGGACAGGACCTCTGATAGAGACCGTTAATTATAAGGTGCTATCCATGACGTAACTCGTTTCACTGACACCAAAGGTCATCGTTTGGACGAGTTTTTGAAGCGTACTCATGTGGACGTATAATTACGCTAACAGCTAGGTATAGAAAATGAGTTCAAGAGTAATTAAGGGGTCATGGTCGCCATAAGCAGGCTGCCGGGTAAAGATCGGATGTGAAGAGTATTTTTTTAGGAATAATAATCATATTTTTAAAAATTTTTGAAGATGAGAATGGAAAAAGCGAAATAAAAAAACTTACTTTGGCTCCCTGACTGAGCAACTTTTAAATTGTCCATTGCATCCTGGTTTCCTTGTCCGAACATATTTTGTGTATCGCTCTACACATGGTTGTTTAACGGTTACTATCTCGA